TGTTCAAGTAATCACTCACTTATAGGAACTATCTGTAGTTTTTACTGACACTAAAATGGAGCATCTTCACAAAGCACAAAGTTCCAATGTTTCAAAATGTATCTTAATATTTTCAACAAAATATATTTATGCTTCAATTGTTTTATAGAGTGAAACAATGAATCTTGATCTTTTGCACCTTCGAACCCCACCCACTCTACCCAGGAACCCCCAACTTTTCTATCCCACTCCCCCTAGGCACCTCCATACATCCCCCTGTGTCCCCTTTGTCCTCTTCTTTTCTTGTAGTTAATAATGGAGCTCAGTTAGTTCATCCTCCTGTTGGCTGATCCTGAGCTGGCAGCCATAGCCACAGAGAGGCTGTGAGCACAGTAGCCATGCCATGTCTAGAACAAAGTGTTTGCAGCACCCTCCCATCTTGTTTCATCGGTTCCTTCCATTCCCTCTTTTGTGATGCTCTCTAATCCTCAGATGGTGTTGATAGAGATGTCCCATTTCAGGCTGAGCACTCAGGAGCCCTTGATTCTGACACTGCGAGCCTGATTATGAAACTCTCCATTAGCTACTGACTAGAAAAGAAAATTTTCCCTGCCAGAGGTTGAGGGCAGCACTAATCTGTGAGCGTAAGCGTAAATATTTAGAAGACAATCTAACAACACGTCACTTAGCAAAACTGTGGTAGTTGGCTCCTCTTTAGGGCCTATGACTTCTTAAGTCATGAGCTTTTGATTAAAGTTTACAGTGCCAAACATAAATTCCTTCCAGGAGAGCTTGTCGCAAGTAACTCAGTGCTGGTGCGTGGGTTCACACTGGTCCATGAAATGAAGACTCAGAGACATTTGAGAATTAACTTAGCCTCTGTGGCTGCAGAGGGCTCAATCTCCGTGAACTGAAGTCCCTTTCTTCGCCTCCTGGCATTTTTATTTTTTGTTATATTTACACTTATCCAGCAGATTTCCATATGCTCAAAACAACCTAAATGAAGTTTCTGAAAATACAATTGCCAGGTGCAAATGCCTGGTTCATGAGACACCAAGGTATGCCGGGCTCCCTCTAAACCAAGTTTTGCATAGGCTTTGCATCCATGGGAAACTCTCAGACAAGATTTACATAGGGCAACAAAAGGTATCTGTAACATAAAGGATGGATTAGGGGCTGAGTGAAAACTCCCAGAGCTAGGCCAGGTATGGCCCAGTGGGGTTTCATGGTTACTGGAGATTGCTTGCTATGCCTCTGGCACCAGGCCAGTGGGACATTATGCCACAAGAATAGGCCTCAAATCCAATCCTAAAGCAGTTGGTTACCCCACAACCTTAGTGCCACTATTGTACCAGTAGCATGTCTTGCCTGGAAAGTTAGTATTTTAGGATATAGGGTTGGTCATAAGACAACATTTTTGTCCTTTTTCTCCCAGTGGCCTGCATAATATACTCCAGCACCATGAAAGCTAATCAACAGTGAAGATGTTTTTGTGTCGGCTCCAGTTTGAATTCTCTATATCCTGCTACCAATGTACATTGTGTCTTTAGCAATAGAATCTTACCAGCTAGCAATTCTGAGCAACCAAGAGCAATGAGAAAAGCTTGTATTGTTTCAGGGACCTTTAAGTGCTCTCTGGCCAAAAACTTGTTAAGGATGTATCCACTCCTGCCCTGATATTTTTATGTAATAACCCAATTCTCCTAGAGGGCAAGTGTCCACTCGGGCAAAGTATCTCTGTTCAACTTCTACTGATTGATATAGTCTAATTAGCTTACAAAGCAGTATGGGTTTTTTATTCCTTTATTTATTATTTATTGGGGGGGTGCCACAGTATATATTAATGTCAGAGGACAGCTCATGGGAGTCCATTCTTCTACCATTTGGGTTCTGGGAATCAAATTCAGGTCATCAAGCTTGGGCAGCGAGTACCTTTACCTACTGAGCCATCTCGCCAGCCTTGCATTAGGAATCTTAATGAGATGTATTATATAAGCTCCATTTTTGTATTTGTTTATCTAAGGTTGATCTGCAAGTCTCACATTTCATGTGCTATTAGAATTACTTAGGAGATTTAAAATAGTTCTTGGGTTACCTAAAACAAAATGTAAAAAAAAACAGAAATAAAAACAAGAAGATAACAAAGATGCAATCCTGTGGAATCTCCAGTCTATAAACTTACAAACAACAATGTCATAGATAAATGAATAAAAGCAAAGATTACTCCTAACTTTCATACTATCTTAGGAAATACGGCATGTGGTACCGATAGGAAAACAGTGAGTACTCGGCTTGCCATTTGGCTGCTCATTTTACTGAACTCTGGCCTCCTCTTCTGACCTGAATTACAGTGAGAGTATTGAATCCAATCTGTAGCTGCCTTTACATATTTTATGACTTAAGACATTTAGAGTATGATTCATTGTATGACTAATCTTAAAATTTCTTCCGACTAACAGTGTTCTTTTTACTTTCTCTAGTTTACCTATTAACGTGCTAACTCCACAGCATGCTCTTTGAGGTATTAGTCTAATGGATTGACAGTTGATTTTCACAATTCAATATATTCATTCCCACACCTCATGTCTTATCTGGAAAATGAGATTCAATTTCTAATTAATAGGTTTAATGACAATTAAGATAAGTCTGTGGGGCTCCAGAAAGGTCTTGGTGACTAAGATCACTTGCTGCTCTTGCAGAGAGCCCATACTCAGGTTCTAGCATCTACATGGTAGCTCACCACCATCTGGTACTCCAGTTCCAGGGTTGCTCCTGTCCTCTGCTGGCCTTTCTAGACAACAGACACACATGCCATGCACAGACATGCATGCAGTCAAAGTAGTCATATGTGTAAAATAAAAGTAAGTTAATCTCCAAAATAACTTCAGAAATAAATTTGAAGTCTAGAGAGATCATGCGTCAGTAAAGACTTCACAGAGAACTAGGTACAGTTCCCAGCAGCCAAGGTGGGGGCTTGCAACGGCCTGTATGTCCAGCTCCTGGGTATCCAGTACCTGCTGGTCTCTGTGGGTATCTATCTGCACTCACATACGCATGACTCCACACAGACCCAGACACACACACACACACACACACACACACAAAACATTTAAAACTATTTTTTAAACATGCAGTCATTAAATTATAAAACATGCCAGGCATGATAGTCAGTTTCATCTCCTGCGTATTGTGCAGCAGGACTAGCCATTGGTTTCTTTCCAGTGTCTGGAGTACATTAGTACAGAAATAATGGAGTGCGTACTTGACAATATGCAAAAGCAGACAATAAAATGACAGCAAAACTATCTACTAAGGTCATAACAGCGGTGTCTTTTTTAAGTCACTATTGTCAGAGTCTATCCAGATTGTGAGAAGTATGATTCTTGTGCGCACGTAACTTTTCCAATTTGTTTTCTGATTTCAAATCAGACATCTGTGTACTAAAACTTCAACAATGTGGAAAATTAACAATTTCAAAAATAAGAAGTTCCCATTTCTAATGTCACCTGGTTGTCGGCCCCCTACAGCTAATTAGTGGTGACTGCCTAAGCAAAGTCGCATGTGCTCCCTAGCCTGCACTAACTGATGCACATGCTTTGTAAATAAGATTACATCACACATGTGCAGATGGCTTCTACTCACTTAAAATACATCTTTGGTATCTGCATCAATACATTTTGTACCTTCTCAAGAGCATAAACTCAAGGATGCATTTCAGGCTCTCGGGCACTCCTCACAAGGTTGAGTTTAGGCCTGACTGGAAGAGCCCTGTGGCTAATCCTTTCACTGCCAATCACTGGTCCTTTCTCTCCAACTAAGAACATGAGAAGGAACAGCAGGGGAGTTAGTCAGATGGGTCCTGTCAGTTTGTACAAAACAATCCCACCATTGTGAAAGAAAAGCTGAATGAAGAAGACACATTTGTACATCCGTGACTCCTGGGGATCATAGAAACATTTCAAATGCCACACGTTGTACCCATGGAGCATAACTCAGCCCTGGAGTGTGGAAGCCTAGTCACACGTACAACCTACTTGAAGCAATAAGGAAACTTGACTTGAGGATGTGGAAGACAAGTGAATACTGACAGGATGCCATCCTTTGTCTCCCTGTGTTTGTTGCCTCAGAATCCTCTTCCTACCATGTATAGATTGACTTTCGAGTGACTGCGTCCTCTTTGCCTTTTCTATGCCTTTGCTAACTGCTTTTCGCCTGTTTCAATCACAAAAGAGCTGATTTTTTTAAGCCGAATGCCAATATATCAAACATTAAGTATCCATTTCCATGCAAAGCACACACTGCATAATTGCATACTGTCTTGCAACAGAGGTGATATTTGATTTGTGCTCCAAGCCCTCCCCTAACCAACAGACCAGTTAAAAGAGCATATTCAGAGCCCAGAGTATTGAGATTACTAGAGCCCTTCCTTAAACCATAGGCACATTTGCAGACTCCACAACAGGAGAGAATCCTGACACAGAGAGGTTGCTATATTGTTTGCAAAAACAATAAGAAGCATTATTACACCAAGTAGGACATTTCCTGAGTGCATGGATTCATCTCTCCGGTCAACCAGGGAGCCAGAGCCATGGTGTTAGGGACTGAGTTGGGAGCTTTTGGTGCAGACGAAGGAATTAATGAAAGCAGGGTTATCTTGAAAGAGGGTTTTACTAACCCTGCAGCTCCCCAAGACACTGAACCCTCTTGAGGATGTTGTTCAAATTGTTGGAGGTTATGTGATTCAGAATTGTACAGGTAAAGGTGCAGAGAGGTCAAGGGGCCAGGGTAAAAGTGACAGGAATGTCGTGTTATGGTGTTACGGTCCTTGGTCCTTTTCACTCTGCAGTCATAGGCTCCTGACCAAGTGCTGGTAAGGCCGGGTGTTCTGTTCTGTTCACTATGGCCTCAAAAAGGTTCATTAACTGTCCAAAAAAAAAAAAAAAAAGAAAGAAAGAAAGAAAAGAGCGACATTAAAGGTATTAGTCATGTGACTTACGGCTGTCTCAACCTGTTTCTTTCAGATACCATTGTTCTTATCGCTTCCATAGCTGTTGTTTCTGCAAAAACTCAGGGTAATATTTTCGCCACTTCGGCTCTCAGAAGTCTCCGGTTCCTACAGATCCTGCGTATGGTGCGCATGGACAGAAGGGGAGGCACTTGGAAGTTGCTGGGCTCAGTGGTTTATGCTCACAGCAAGGTAAAAATGTGCTTTCTGAACTATATAGCAAAGTTTTCGAATAAAGTTCCATTGATTACAATAACATTTAATAAACAGCACGGGCAGGTACTTTAAACTGTGGCTCAAGCCACTTGGGCCCTGGTACATAATGCATTACTTTAACAACCTGCATATACTCCTAGAAGTAGGAAAATAATTGACCTGTACATGGATTTCCTATTTACTTTTTCAAAGATTCTTCCTACCCTTAAAATGTTTCTTTCCTTTTATCCCTAGGAATTAATCACAGCTTGGTACATAGGATTTCTGGTTCTTATCTTCTCATCTTTTCTTGTCTATCTGGTGGAAAAGGACGCCAATAAAGAGTTCTCTACATATGCCGATGCTCTCTGGTGGGGCACAGTAAGTATAAGAATCTGTTCTTAATCTATCGGCTATTGTGAATGTAACACTGAATATAACAAAAATGGTTATCAGTAAATGGTCTCAATGAAATATCAACTTTCAAAAGAGATGAATTTGGAAATGTATGGTACTTATAAGTTATCTAGAGGTTTCTGTGCTTTTGGGGGAAAATAAAATTAAATTTACACATAGACTATCATTTATGATTTTGAGGTGCTCAGTTGTTTCCAAAGTAAAAATATATCATTTTTTATAATAGGAAATACTAACAGGATTATTTGTTTTGGTATTGTAAGCTTAAATAGACAATTAATAAATTGACTTACCACTCGGGAGGAATTGTTTTTGATTGTCAAAATAATAAATAAGAGAAGTATGGTGGCACATTGATATAGTCTCAGCACTCTGGAGGCTGAGGCAGGAGGATGGCAAGCTTGAGGTCAGTCTGGGCTACCATAGTATAAAACTTTCAAAAAAGATAACTGAAGCAGAAACTTGGAACAGCAGCTGATTCAAAGTGAGAAGAATTAAAAGCATCAGTCAATCAAGAAGAGAAGACAGGGAGCAGCCTGTGAGAGCAGAGACCATGGACACATTATTATAAAACTTTCCATTCAAAAATCCTACTTTCCCTTTTTATCATTACAAAGAGTTTCCAAACAAGGACGAGTAAAACTCACAACTATCATACAAATAGAAAGCAATGCAGACTATTATATTTAATTCATTATTTAAAATTTATCAATGAAGAAACCAGTAAAGCGTCACAGTCCGATCAAAGTACTGACCAAAGTCCAGAGAATTACTAATTGCTGGAAATGCTGGGGTATTGAAACAGAAGAACAAATGGAGGAGAATCTAGCTGTTTTCACAATACAGGCAACAGATCAGTGAACATTCCCTAGACATAACTTATTTACACATGGATAAGGTAAAATTATTTTGCATTGCTATGTGTTATTTTCAACTTACAGGATTGTAAAATAGCTCCAAAGTCAAGAAGATGCAGACTCCAATAGTCTGGAAAGGGTGTGCTTTCAGATAAAATTTTCCCTGCATTTACAAAGAATTTATAGAACAATCATTTGGAACTTAGACCCTAATATGACGTTTACAGTATATAGGGTATTTGGTACAACACAAAAATCGCATTTCTTTTCATTTTATACTTTTATGAGAGTCCAAAAGGGAGTAATATGGAACGAAACAAGCTTTAGAATAGTGTAAAAATTGTTTTTCTTTCATTCTTGAGGTTATAATGTAATTACAACATTTCTCCCTTGCATTTTCTCCTGCTAAACCCTCCCATATGTCCCTCCCCACTGTCCTTCAAATCACAGTTTCTTTCTTCAGTAATTATCATTGTATGCATATGTATTCCTGAGTGGTCCCTGCTCAGTCCATACAATGTTAGTTGTGTGCATGCTCTCAGGGCTGACCATTTGATTTGGTACTAGAAAACCAACTGGCATATTCTTCCATGGGAAAAACCACCTCTCCCACTCCCAGCAAATCTCAGGTGCCCATAGTACTTTTTGTAGAGTTGAGGCCTCATGGGCTTTCCCCCACCTACTTTATCATGCCCATTGGTGTTCAACTCATGTTTGGGCAATCATGTTAATGATACTTTGGGGGTATAGCTTCTGATATTACTAGGAGACACATTCTCACAGCAAACTCCCTGATCCTGTGGTTCTTATAGTCTTCCAACCACCTCTTCTGCAATAGTCCCTGAACCTGCAGACAGATTTGTAGATGAATCCACTGGGACTCATCCCCACAGCTCTGCATTTTGATTGGTTGTAATTTTCTGAAGTGGTCTCCATCTGTTGCAAAGAGACATTTCCCTGATGAGAGGTGAAGACTACACTTACCTTTGAGTATAAGTAAATGTGTTTATAGGCTTTTGTTGGAGGTTATGCTGGTTTAGTAAGTTAGTAGTTGTAGATTCTCCTACAATGACCATGGTGTCACTAGCACCGAGAGATTAGCCAGGCTTCCAACACCAGGAATACTTTCCCTCTTGTTTAGCAGGACTAAGTCCAATTACAGAGCTATTGGTTCTTAAATGCCACTTCTGTTCCCATAGAGTTATTGTGCCATACTGTTCTGTAGATGTGGTTCGTTGGCATCACAGTTGGGTAGGGCTGTAGGTTGCCTCCCTCGTTTAGAAGCTTGTGTGATGCCTTCTGGTACCATCAAATCTGATCATCAAGAAGGGCAAACCTTCAAGTCAGCTCCAGCTCAGGAGTTTCTGAATCCTGTTTCTGAAGTGTATGGTGTCTTCAGCAATCGGGACACAACTTCCACCCCTGGGAGGTAACCATGGCAGCAGCAATGAGTTGCATGTCTGGGGAGTCTCTTGGACAGCCCTCTTCAACAGCTAAAAAGAGGGCATTCTCATGTCTGTTACTGAAGCTTTTGTGATGTGATCTTTGGCTGCTGGAGGGAGCACCTTTGGCCCAGATGAGAAAAGATCATTAAAACCCTGTATGTATATTTATAAACATGTAATTACATGTGCTATAGGTTTCTTTTAGCTAAATTATTAACAGTGGGCTTCCTTGTGGCTTCTTCAAAATCCTTATTGGTATTTTACCCACCCCTCCTTTTTCTGTATTTACCTTTTTCCATAAAAACCTCTCCATTTTCTTATTTCTTCTCTCAGACAAATTACATCCTGCTATTCCCCTTGACCCTCTTCCCATTATCTTTTGTGTTTCCCTCCTTCCTTCTCCCTAAAGAACACCCTTTTCCCACTTACGTAAAAATTTTCCACTCCTTTTACTCTTACAAACCACCCTTAATGCCTCCTGAGTGCTAGCCAGCTGTTTGCTGAACTAAGAACATAGCATCATCTTAAACTATCCCTGAAGCACTGGGGGGGTTGTGTTTACCCTTCATGGAGCACAGATGGAAGTCAGGGTTGTCTCTTAATCCACTCCTCGTCCAAAGGCCATTCACGTAGACTGGGTCCTGTCAGAGACAATGAGAATTTTTCAGGACTAAATTAAGCAGAACTTGATAAATGTCTTGGTTGAATAGTAGTGATTAAATAAAAATTAGAAATAAATTCTTCTAAATTTTAGGCTTTTAAAAATAATATCAGGGCCAGGCAATGGTGGCATATGCATTTAATCCCAGCACTCAGGAAGCAGAAGCAGGATCTCAAGGCCAGTTTGTTCTACAGAGCGAGTTCCACGACAGCCAAGGATGTTACACAGAAAAGCCCTGTCTCGAAAAACAAACAAAACATCTTATCAGAACACATCTCCAAGATTATGCTGCTGGTGACAGAGTAGTCTAGTATATTAATAGATTGGTTTCCAGAACCATTAGGTAAAAAGACAGGTTACACAATGAGAGGAAAATCTTTGCTGAGTGCACATCAGTCAGGAAATCAATATCCAAAATACATAAACTGCAAAAATTCAACACCAAAACTCCATCCAGTCAGTAAATGAGCTGATGAACTAGACAGATACTTCTCAAAAGAAGTAATACAAATAGCCAATAGATATTTGAAAGAAATGTTCAAAGCTTAGCCATCGAGAAAATGTACAACTGTCGTGTGATTTTCTCACCTCTTAGATTGGTTGTCATCAAGGAAACAAATGACAGTGTATGCTGGTGAATACAGGAGGATGGGGAAAGGGGCAGAGAGGTACACTGTTGCTTGGAATGTATGCTCAATAGCCACAATGGATGTCACTGTGGAATTTTGTCAACAAACTAAAAAGAGGACTATATCACGATCAGGTATATATGTGGGAACTTTAAATCCACACACCTTGGAGACACAGGCACACTCATGTTGATTGCTGCACTCTGTGTGGTCCCTAAGAAACAGAATCAAAGTGGATGTGCATGATTTCTCTAAGATGGGGAGTCTAGATATAAATGAGTCTGTGAGGATGCATATGCACACACTCATGTGCACCCTCGACCCCATGGAATAAGATAAACGTGGGTTATTTTTCTGCCCCAAAGGAAAATGGAAACATGGCATCTGTAGGAAAGTGGACACAAATGGAGATCATCGTAGTCAGTTAAGTAAGCCGCATGCAGAAAAACAAACAGTGCGTGCTTTCTCTAATATGGGAAGTCTAGCTAGAAATGTGTGCTCATGTGCATGCACACACACGTATGTGGAGCCTTAGCCTAATGAAAGTGGAAAAGGAATCATGGAGGGGAGAAAAAGATTGGATTCAAATGCTAAGGAGAAGAGAGGGTAACGAAATACGTGTGACGTAGGAGCCAAAGTTGGGGCTGCTTGTGTGGAGGAAGATGCCCACAAAAAGTGACACAGCTGGGGTATCAGAGGAATTAGGAAGAGGAATGCATAAGAACAAGATACAATGACACGTACGTATGAGAAGTGCCAAATAATAAAAGAAAGGGAATGCCATAATGAAACTTATCACTTTGAATGTTTACTCACAATATTAATCAAAATGGCTTCATTTCCAGCTCTTCCTCCCTACATACAAGAAAAATTCTGCATTTTGAAAGAAGGATAGAATTCAGAAGGAGATCTGACATTCTTGAAATACCTCTAATATATAGAGAGGAAATGAAAACCTGTTACTCATGGAACAATAAAATGCAAACTGAGAAAATGGGTGGGTTTTCATAAGAGTGAGGGAAAGCAACCTATATCCCAGCCTGTTTCCAGCAATCTGGATTCAGGTTTAGTGTTTGCTTCTCGTGGATAATTCAAATATATTTCAATTAATTGCAATACTCAGGGGCACCTTTTTCCCTTTGAAATGCAGTTGTTGGTGAATTAAGTCTGGCAGCCTTTTCTCTCTCTTTCCATTATTCTTCTTTTTCTCCTTATTACCAATACAAATTGCTGTATTGTGTGCTAAACGGTGTGTGGGAAACTCTTAATATACTCTCGCTTAGTCACCAGCGAGCTTCTCCTCCAGAGAGATGCACAAGGCAGGCTTTCAAAGGTCATATCTGTGATTTGCAGCGAGAAGCAGCGTATTTTC